ATCCCAAAGGACATGTGGTAAAGCAAACTTTTTATAGATACTGGTTTATACAGTACATCAAAGCTCTAAGTTTATAAACCCATGGTAGTAATGTACTAAAGGAGCTTCAGAATAAATGAATGGGAGCTTTTTTCAAACTTCTTTGCAAAGCAGTTACTATGTCACATTTTAATTGTGGTGAATATTTCTCAGTTTTTTTTTGGTTCAATAAAAATGTCTTATAAAAAGAAAATACTTATTTTTCCTTTCCAGAATAAAGAGTTTCTTCAAGAAAAAATATTGCAGAGAGCACCAACCATTTCTGAAAGAGCTAAAAAGGTAAATGGTGATTTAGCTCAGTTTTCCTGGAAAATTGCTTATAGTTTACTTTTGCATTTTGAAAGTATGTATGTTAAGTAATACTTTGATAACTGTAAAAGTATTACTCATTTTCTTTCAGTCCTTTATTTAGCATTCTTTTGATACATTCATTCAGCAAATATCATTAGTCTACTGAATGCCTATGTATTTATTACTCCGTTATCTACTACGAGGAAAAGGTATGTTAGACAATTGAAGAATTAATTCTAAACTATTTTAAGTCACACTTTGCAATAACAGAGTGAGTTGTGAAGTTGGGCCCTTTCCTCGCACCATACAAAAACAATGAAGATACCACTTCACACCCACTAGAATGACTATAATAAAAAAGACAGACAATAGTAAGTATTGATAAAGATGTGGAGAAATTGGAATCCTCCCGTACTAATGTGAATGTAAAACGATGCAGCCACTTTAGAAAATAGCCTGGCAGTTCCTCAAAAGGCCAAACTCAGTTGCGATATGACCCAACCTTTCCACTCCTAGCCATATCAAAGAGAATTGAAAACGTACACACAAAAATAAGTACACAAATGTGCATAGTAGCATTATTTGTAATAATTAAAAAGTATAAACCTGAATATTCATGTACTGATAAATGAATGTATAAAATGTGTTATCTATACAATGGAATATTATATTTGGTAATAAAAAGGAATGAAGNGCCACTCGGCCGGCCGGCTTTTTCATTTTTAATAACTGTAGGAGGGAGGCTATTTTTAGGCCAAAGAAATAACTTATTTTTTTAAAAAAGGAGGTTGGGGGGAGCATGAGATTTACTTTTCATCTATTATAAGCAGTGACTCCTGCAATTATAGCCAGATATATACATGTTAACCTATTTGCTCAAAATGAGAAATATTACCAAACTTAGTAATTCTGTTTCAGTAAATGTAAATCTGAAAAGCAAGTAATAATTCTGATTATATCCCTCTTTTATTTTTTAATGTTGACTTTGTGTTTAGAAAATGGCTTATACTTTTATAAAAAAGTCAAACAGTATATAGAAAAACACAACTAACCCCAAGCCCCTTCACATAAATATGACTTTCATTACTTACATCTCTGTGAATCAAGCTAGTATGTTGCCATGAAAGTCAATGAAGAAAGAGTTGGACAGAATAATCAGTTGATTCAGGGAAGGGAGGAAAAATGAGAACTAAAAAAGGCTGTATCTTTGTTAAATAGGGCATCATCAGTGATTTCTATGATAGAAGTTTCTGAGGCGTTCCAGGAAGAGAGGACCAGATTACAAGGTGTCAGGTTGAAACAGAGCCATGAATAGATGAAGTCAGCAAGGTCACACACTCTGTGGTTTTTTTTTTTTTGTTTGTTTTTTAATATTTTGCTATGGTTTTAATATTTTTTTAAAGATCGTTTGGCAGTATAAGACTGGGGACAGAAGACATGGAGAAAGGACTAACTAACCAAAGAATATAACAGTGTTGATACAGTTGAGCTCTGGCAGGCACGTCGTTGGGGAAGCCAACTTTCGGTGTGATATTGTTTACGTGGCGAAAACCTGAATAACTCTGGGTTCTGAACAACTGGTCTACATATGAACTTGTAGAAAATAAAATCTGCTTGTATGTTGGGGGTTGTCTATATTGAAAAATCTTGGCTACAATATTTAACATTACTGAGTCTTAAGAAGTTTTTCTTACTTTGAAAATTCTTACAGGTTTTGATGCTGACACTGCAAAATGATCCTCCTTCTTTGGAAACTGGTATTCAAGATAAGGAAATGCTGAAAAAATATGGAAAATCATTTAGAAAAATGATTTCATTATGCCTTCAAAAGGATCCAGAAAAAAGGTAAAATATGAGATAAAGCTTACTTTTATCCTCATCTAATATGTAATCCATTGTCTAGGAATCCAAGTCTAGGAATCACATGCATACATGCGTAGGGAATTATTTGTCTCATATTCAAAGAAATTAAATATAAACTATAAAAAAAATAACAAAAAGACCATTACCCTAGATTGGAAATGAATAAATTACTTTCTTATTTTTAGTATATGATGTACTTTAAATAGTTCAGCTATTTCCCTATTAATTCTTATAATTATAAATCTGTATGTTGTGAATTCTGTATTAATAAAATGTCAAATTAGTGAGAGGGCTTGTTTCAATTTGCATTTAAAAGTTAAAAGGTCAACTATA